GATTCTCCTGGGGATCACCCCACCAGGCTCCCTGCTATTTTCTTCAGGCCCCAAGGTTTGTCCCCTTTCAACTCACCCTTGACTGGGCTTCCCCACTCTCTTTCCAAAATGCAAACCTTACCGCATCTGGCCCCAGCCTAAAGTCCTGGAGTGACTCTTCAGAGGATGAAGTTCATGCTTCTTGGCCCATATGGGCCTTGTTTATCTCTGTGCTCCCCACTTCCCCTCCCTGCACACCCCATCTCGCTAGCTGTCCTGTGCCTCATGACTTCAGGGTTCTGGAATCCTGGTGCTGTGTCTTGCCTCTGGCCCCTTCACACCTGTGCTTCCTGTCTCTTGAACATAGTCCCCTGTTGGCTCTGCCTTCCTCTCCTCCTGACCCCTCCAAATCTAAGCGCCACCTCTTTGGGGGAGCTACACAATGTGATTTAGCTGCTCATCTGTGTTCAGACATCGCTCTGTGCGTATCTCCATTTGGGTATGTGTCACAGCTTCATCTCTGACCCCCTTACGTGTCCCTTCTTTCTCTCCAAGTCCCATGAGGGCAGCATCTGTGTCTTACCTAACTTTGCATTCCTTGCACCTCGGCTGGCACATCTGGCACACGGAGGGTGTTCAATAAATACTGAATGAAATCTTGAGCCAAGGGAATATATCATTTTCTTTCATCTTCGTAAACTGTGAGGTGGCTATGGTTAGACTAGGGTCTACCAATAAGGATCGTACATTCGTTTCTTCCACTTTACAGACAAGAGACTTTCAAACAGTTACCGGGAGAGTCGGGACTTCGAAGTGACAACCTGGAAAAGGATTGTACCCTTTGTGTAGTAATTCTACCTCTAGAAATCCCTCCTAAATAATCAGAAGCAGAAAAGCTTTATTCACCAAGATGCTCATCACCAAGTAATTCATGATAGAAAAAATACTGGAAAAAATAGAGAAATAATTCAACATCCAGAATTATGGTACATAATGCAACTAAATGTTATAGTGCCATTATACACGGCTTCCAAAGAATGTTTAATCACCCAGGACAACGCTTCTGTTATGCTCGGTAAAAAAAAAGATGGATAGAAAACTAACAAAAATTGTAAAATCTTAAATCACATAAATGAGAAAAAAAAACCCCTTACAATAAGCAGAGAAATAAGATTTGACAGAAACATACCAAAATGAACTCTTTAGTAGTTATGTCTTGGGTGGTTTTTGTTTTTTAAATAATCTTTGGCATTTCCTTGATTTTCTACAATGGGCACCTTTGCTTTTACAGCCAGAACTACAAAAATTGTTAAGTTGTAATAAGCATCTTTTGTTTTGTTCCTTCTTCCTCCCATGGGAGTACCTCAGTTTTTCTTTGGGGACACATCCTTCCTCATTCTTAGACCTCATGGTGTGGGTGAAGTGGACCCTCAACCCCGGGCTCCAGGGGTGGGTGCGGGATCCAGACGCAGTCAATCATCATATTGTACCCATCTGGCTTCAGTGATGGGTCCCAAGTGAGCATGTGACTTTAGCTGGGTCAATACTTCTATAGGAGATGTTCATGGGGGCAGAAAAGCTCTGCTCACATTCATGCTAATAAGCTGTGAGCCTAGAGCTGCCTAAGTGCATATGAAGACAGGAAGCCATACAGGCGTGTGCTGCTGAAAGATGGACGTGGAGAAAATGCATGTACACACACACACACACACACACACACACACACATCACTCCACACCACACCACACACATTACCTTCAAGTCCTGGTGACTTTGAATTCTTGAATCTAGGAAAGTCTCGAATGCTATCATCACTGGACTTTCCAATTATAAGATCCATAAATTTCAGGTTTTTGGTTTTTGGGTTGAGTCCGTTTGAGCTGAGTATCTTTTCTTTTTTTTTTTTTTAAGATTTTATTTATTTATTCATGAGAGACAGAGAGAGAGAGAGAGGCAGAGACACAGGCAGAGGAAGAAGCAGGCTCCTTGCAGGGAGCCCGATGAGGGACTCGATCCCAGGACCCCGGGATCACACCCTGAGCCACAGGCAGATGCTCAACCACTGAGCCACCCAGGTGCTCTTCTTCTTTTTTTCTTTTTTTAAAGATTTTATTTATTTATTTGATAGGGGATGAGGGGCAGAGGGAGAGGGAGAAGCAAACACTTGGATGAGCAGGGAACTCAACATGGGACTTAATCCCAGAACCCTGGGATCATGACCTGAGCCAAAGGCAGATGCTTAACCGACTGAGCCACCCAGGCACCCTGAGCTGGGTTTCTACAAGTTGCAATCAAGAGTCCTCGCTAACACAGTTATGAAAACAATGAACTATGTAAAATATAATTTATAAAAGGCTGCAGGAGGGCTGTCACACAAAAAAGTACAGAGTTGGCCCTGTACACCCTACCTGATGATGTAAAACATTTCCATCGTTGTGTTTCTATTGGACGTATTCTGAAATAGAGTTCACTCGCGTAGCACGTCACTCACAGTGCCTCCTATACGCCTTCTTTCAGTACATGGCTGGCATGAGGTGTTATTAAACATAGCTTGTAACCCTAAAGGCACAGCAGCTGGCGGCTTCCTGTTATGCCTGGTATTCAGTCTTTCATTGCTGGACCTGAGATTTGGGGTCTCTCAGGAAAGAGCTTGGAGTGAATGAAGGGGTACTTGGGGGTTTGGGGCAGTCACTTTTTTCCCAGTTGATTCAGAAGGACTTCAATATTCTAACAACCTGTATGGCCAACTTGGTGTGTCTTGGCTGAACACAAACCACGTTAGCAGAGATCAGAGTTTCTTTGGGGGGGATCTGCCTACCTTCCCAGGCAAGGACTTTGTCTTTATGAATTATTGGGGGTCTTGTGCCTACCAGGGTGTTCAATAGATATTTGGGATGACTGACAGCCCAGCATTGTATAATTCCCTATTCTGTTTTTTTTTTTTTTTCTGATAGAGGTTTCCTGCCTAGAATTAAATTGCAATATGGTCCCTTTTCACCCGCTCTTCTGAAGACTTGTTATCCTCTCCAATATCAGTTGATTGAAGAAGAAAATTGTAAATTTTCTCTCTCAGGCATAATGTTGATATTTTAACTCACAGTGATTTTTTTTTCTTGCTACAAAATGGATTTTAGAAATAAATCAAGATCCCAGAAACTTATGATTGCTTTGAGTGGTAGCTTTTATCTCTGTCATCCCAAGAAAAAGATGTGGCCTGATGGCCCAGAGCACAAACAGAGACCTTTGAATTTCAGTTTTCCCACAGCTGTATGACTTGACATATTTGCTAGGACATGACATGGGGGTGGGGGGTTCCCAGTCTTGACTCTAAGGAGGGTGGCAGGGTCCACCTTTGTCTATTAAAAAAGGGTCCTCCCCGTACCCAGCTATTCCTTGTTCAGAGTAGACACTTAGATGCTTGTTGAATGAATACATGAGTTTAAGGAGAGGCAATCATACATATTGACTTCGAAGTGATAATTTTTTGAAAAGATTATTTATATATTTACTTGAGACAGAGAGAGAAAGAGAGAATGAGTGCAAGGACGCGCAGAGGGAGAGAGAGCAGCAGACTCCCCCACTGAGTGGGAGCCCGATGAGGGGGGGCTCCATCCCAGGACCCCAGGATCATGACCTGAGCAGAAGTCAGACGCTTAGTCGACTGAGCCACCCAGGCACCCCTAGCAGTGATCATTTTTAAGTGATTAGCTTTAAAACTCATTTCTTTAAAAAAAAAAAAAACTAACTTGGGTCCTATCATTATCCAACAGGAGAGCTTTCGATATTAAATAAAGTGGGGCGGTTACTTACACATTTTGGATGTCATTTTAGAGAAAAGTCCAGGTATATCTATATTATTCGACCACTTTTTCCGATGGGCACCCCCCCTTTTTTTTTTTTTTGTCTATTTTCCACTCTTAAGCTCTGGTAAGGTGTTTTACTGGGTTTATTAAGAAGCCAAGGGGAAAGGCCATCATACCTGGAGTCAGCCTTAAAAGGACTCCCTCGCCCCTGTACCTGCTGTGCGATCTGAGGCCACTTTTAAACCCCAAGTAAGGAGCACTGCGCTCTCCCTGCCTCGCAAAGCTGCTGCTGTGAGCCTCAACCCGGATTCAGAGCCCGGAGGAGCGGCAAAGCCCCGGGGCTGCCTCGGATGGAGCCCTTCCCAGGCAGTGGAGGCTGGTTTAAGAGAATTATTTTACTGATACGTTGCCCCTGGTACAGGTTAGGGCAGCTAAGGGGACCCGGGGACGGTGCTCTGGCTCCGAGGCAGGGACGCCGTGCGATCCGCCGGGGTGCGGGGGGGGGGTGTGTGTGTGTGTCGGGGGGTCGGGGTGGGGGCGGGGGGCTCCCGAATTGCTTAGCGCTGCAACCGTGGCGCAAAGTCGTCTAAAAACTCGGGCTCCCGGAGCAAACTTCGCCGCGGCCGCCTCTCCCCGGCTCGCAAGCCAAGCCCGCTCCTCCGAGAGCCGCGGCGGGGGTCGGCGGGCGGAGGCCGCAGCGCCCCGGGGAAGCCGCCGGTGCGGTGCGCTCCCGGCGCGGAGCAGGTGAAGCCGAGCGGGGTGAGTGACCTGCGCCCCGGGGGCCCCCACGACGGACAGCGAGGGCAGAGCGAGCGGGGGGCCTCACCACTAGTCCCCGGCGCCCCCCGTTCCTGCCGGCTCCTGCACCCCCCGCCCCGGGAGCGAGCTCGGGGGCCGGGCGGCGGACCTCATTGTCTGGGGAGCACCTGCCAGGTGGCGGGCCCGCGCCCTCAGGTGCGCTGGGTGCGCGGCTTCACACGGCCCCTCCCCGGGAGCCGCGCCGGGCCCCCGACCACATCACAGGGGAGGCGGAGAGGGGGCGCGAGGCAGGGCCCCGGGGATCAGCCCGTCGGCGGCGCGGCGGCCCGCGAGCCCCGGGCGGGGGGGGGGGGAGGCGAGGAGGGGCGCGGGGAAGGGGCGTGGCCGCGCGCGGAGGGAGGGCGCTGGGAGGAGGGGCCGCGGCTCGGCGCTCGGCGCTCGCCGCTCTGGGGGCTCGGCTCCGCCGCGCTCCGAGCACTTGGGCGCGAGCAGGAACGGGGAACGGAGCTCCGGTCCCAGCGCAGCCACCGCGATGAGAGGCGCTCGCGGCGCCTGGGATTTTCTCTGCGTCCTGCTCCTGCTGCTCGGCGTCCAGACAGGTGGGCCCCCGGGTCGCGCGCCCCGCGTGCCCACCCCGGCGCCGCCGGCGCGCCCCGGGGCTGCAGCCCGCTGGCCGGGGCTGGGGCTGGGGCTGGGGGTGGGGGTGGGGGTCCCGCAGGGGTGCCCGTGCTTCTCCGCCTCCGGAGGCTCGAGGCGTGCCCGGGACGCCCCCGCGCCCTGCCTCGCTCACCTGCGCGGGGAGCCCCTGGGGCGGGCGGCGGGGGCGCGGGGCTGGGGTCCGGCGGGGCGGGAGGGCGCGAGCCGTGCGGCTCGGGGCGGCTTTTGTGCGCGGGGCGCGCGGGGGCCGAGGCGGGCGGGTCCGGGGTCCGCACCCAGCGCGTTACCTCCGCGCGCCGACCGAGGCGCGGCCGCTGCTTCCTTTTGTTGAAAGTTGCGCGTGTGAGGCCGGAGCGCGCAGGTTCGCGGCCGCGCCGAGGGCGAAGTTGCAGAGGCTCCTCTCTGCACACCGCGGGCGCCCTTTGTGGCCCGGAGCTGGGGACAGAGCCGCGCCGCCCGGCCCCGCCGCGCCCCGGGTCGCCCCCCGCCCCCGGTTATAGGCGTGTCCGCCCGGGGAGCCGGACCCCTGAGCCTGGAGGCGGCGGCTGCGGGGACAACTTGGGCAGGGCGCGTGCAAAGCCGCCGCTAGGCTGCAGACTTTCTGCTGTTGGAGATCCCACGCCGGAGGCTCGCCCCTTTCCGCCGCGGGGCCGTTTCTTTCCTGCCACGCGCCTCCGAGCGGCCGGGAGGCAGGGACCGCGCGCGGGGCGCCCCGTGCCCCCCCCGCCCCCCGACGGCCCGGCGGGGCTCTGCAAGCCGCTCCAGCCGGGTCTGCGCCCTGGAGCCGGGGGGCCCCGTCCTCCCTGGGAGCTGGGAGGTTTGCAGCACCCCGCCCCACGTGACAGCTGCACTCCTCCGGGGCCGCCGGGGGCGGGGGTGGGAGACGCAGTGGAACTTTCTGCAAATCGTACTTGCATCTGTAGTGAAAACCCGGTTCTGTGTGCGCGGGAACTTGGGTCTGAAGGTGGTGGTGGTGGAGGAGGAGGAGGAGGACTTGCAGGCTCCTGGAAGCCCTGGGTCAGATTCCTCCCCTCCCCTCCACCCCCCCGTTTTTTTTTTTTTTTTTTTTTTTTCTGGGTGTCGCTAGTGCACGAGCGAGTGCAGGGCGCCCGGCTAAGCCGTAAAACCCAGGTCATTTTTTTTTTTTTTGTAAGACCCTTTAAGGCCACCCCGATGGTGCAAGGACAGAAAGTGAGTCTCAACTGGAATTTAAGGGGCTTAAAAAAAAAGAAAGAAAGAAAGAAAAGGAAGCATCGTTATGAACTGTCGTGTACTCCATTGACCGCCGGCCCGTTTCCCCTAAAGTCCCCGGGTCCAGCCGGCCTGCTCCCGGGCTTGGAAGGCATTGTGCGGGCTTTCCTGTGGAGGAAGAGAGGCCTTGCATCTGGACCCTGTGAGATGGGGGGGTGGGGGCGTGGATCATGAGCCAGGGCCCGGTTTCCGTGGCGGATTTGACCGCTTAAGCTTCAAATGACACATTTGGTCCTCCTGTCTTTGTGCCTTGGCATTTTAAATTGCAGTTAAGGTATGTTCAGGGACCCGAATAGGGCGCCAGAAAAGGCAGACCACGCGGAATAGTTCCCTTTTTAAAAATTACGTGAATCGGTCGCCTCTGTCTTCGTGAATATCCTGCTCCCTTCAATAGATTTTTGGCAGAGGGAGTTTTAGGGCTGGCTCCTGGGGGGCAGTGTGGTATAGTGACAGAGCCTTGAGCTGCCCTTCTCGTTCTCCTTTTTGCAGCATGTATTAGCGGTGTGCCCTTGGCAGGTCATTTAAATTCTGGAGGTCCCAGTGTCCTCCAGAGAACAGTGAGGCATCGGCATCATGAAGGATCCTTTGGGTTCCACATTCTCCTCTTCCAGTGTTCTGGGTGTAGACTACAGTTTTTCGGAATTCTTTCCCTGATTCCTTTCTGGCTCCCTGAAATTGCTCTGCCTCTCCCCTCTCGGGGACCACTGGTGGTTGCTACTGCTCGAGCCCTATGCTAAAGCAGGGGGGTGTGGTTTATTCCTGCTTCCTCCCCAGTCCCCACCTTTGCCTAGTTTCCCTTTGAATACAACCTAGGAGGTGCCAACTCCGTGTAGGACCCTCCATCACCGCTCCCCTCAGTATTTACAACTCCTGTGCCCGGCAACACGAGCCTGCCAGGAATAGTGAATCACACTTTCCTCTCTCGTTCCTGCAGGTGTGAGGCCAGAGTCATACCCAGCAGCTGGCCAAGGGACATTTTGGTTCTTATCCTGTTGGGAATAATACGGTGGTCCTGTAAAGGGATCCCAGCAAAGTTGCTTAGCCCCATTCTGGTCTTTCCCCCTCATCCACACATTTTTTTTTTTTTATGACTTGATAATGTCTGTATGCTGTGTTATCACGACGCATTCTCTGATGTGCCTTACATTTCATTTTGTGTGTTGTGTAATTGTTTTTTATTCAAAACTGGGCCAGGTCCGTGTTTTGGGGTGGGGGAGTCGGGGAGAGGGTTTCATGTGGTATTTCTAGTCCTCCCAACAAGCCCTGGAGGCAGTAGTCTTACCATCCTTACCATTTTATAGCTGGAGACACTGCTGAGGATAAGTCTGTTATCAAAATCATCAGTGGTGAAGCCTGACATTAGCCCAACTGTATATCCATTCACAGCCTTAACAGAATCAGTTGTGAGATCATTTGAAGCTATTCACTGAGCACATATTGTATGCCGGGGTATCACTGGAGGGTCTGAGAATATGGGATGGCCCTCCAAATTTTGGTAAAAAAAAGACCTAGAATTGCCTGTCTTACGATGTCTGACTTAAAGTGTTCTCAGTTTGAGGGAAGTATTCACTGGGGAGGGGGAGTCATTCAATATAGCTTCCCTGGGGGGGTACTTAGGCAACTGACCCTGCTCCTGAGGGCTCTAGGTGTCCCATTCCAAAGGCCTCGGAAATGAAGACCAATGGTCTCTCAAATGATGATGAAAGTCAGTTGAGATTTTTTGTTTCCATCCCCCTCTCCAAAAAAATTAAAATGCTCTTAGCATTATCATATACTTGTGGCATAGCTGTGAAAGAGCAGACTGCCAGGAATGAGTTCACACCACCGGCCATTTACCCTGAATGGGCACAGTTGAGCCAGAAAGGCAGTTTACCACTCATAGCCCCAAACACATCCTCATCAGAAACGGGCCAAGTGTTTCCTGGGCTTCCCTGGTCGTGCGCGTTTGTTTAGGGACAGATGTTGTTGTGCTGATGGATTTTGCTGCTGTTGTTGACAGCTGCCAGAAGTTGCCCTTAGGATTTTGACTCATTTCCTCAAGTCTCCCCCCACCCCCCCACCCCCACCAGCCGATGAGAGGACACCGGGAAATGAGCCACGGTGTCCCGGTGTCCCGAGCGAGCAGAAATCTTAAAGCTGGCCTTGCAGGATGAGAACCTCTCCGAGGGAGGCAGTGGTCAAGGCTGCAGCAGCGTTGGCTCCAGAATGGATTTAGTTGGAGGGTCCACAGGCTGGGACGAGGGAAGTGCTTTGTTTTGCAGCATGCACGGGAGGGGACTTTCCAAATAAGGGACTGAAAGGCCTTGGAAGGAATCTCAAGTGTGCAAAATTTCATAGGCGGTTTCTGTAACTTGAATAAGGTGGCTTTGTGACTGCAAGTCCAGAGCGAGGAGCACCTGCCAGGGAGTAAGCAGAGGCACCGGTGTGAGTAGAGGGCAAAGCCAGGGTAAATCTGTGTCGAAGGGGAGGGGACTCTGAGGAAGCCTGGCCCAGGACCTCTGATTCTGGACGTTTGGGACCCGAGACAGCCCAGCTTTTGACTTCAGACTCTAACTAGGTAGGGAGACGTTACCGGCTGCTGGCCCCTGGACGTGTGTGTTTTGTTTTGTTTCCCCCCACATGCTGCTTTTTAGGAAAACATCGAGGCGGTGCTTAAAAATCTGGAGAATTTATGTCAAGTTCTCGATTTCTCTGTTCTCTTGAAGAACGGAAAACTCTGCCTCTTTAGATGGGATTTGTGTTCCTTAGGAGGCTCCAGGAGATACCACTCTTTGCTGCCAGCCCTTAGACATTGTAGACTTTAAGCCTCAGGCGCTGGTGAACGTAGATGGGCCATGCAGGTACCTAGTGGACAGGTACCTAGTAGACAGGTACTTGGTGGACGGGTATCTGGTAGGTAATTGGTGGACAGGTACCTGGTGGACAGGTACCTAGGGGACAGAGCACAGGCCTAAGTAGTGAAGACAGCCTTGTATTAATTAGTCTGCTGGCTTCGTGGCTGAGACCTTTGGGGGCTTGGAGCAAGTCTGTCACCCCACTGAATTTCCTTTTTCACCCTCGTTTCAGCTGTGTGACTTTAAATTACGAAACCATTCTGTTCCAGTAAATCTGTTCTACGTGTAGCGTTTTTAGAATGGTTGCCAGTACAAGCTCAATACATGTCAGTCAATAATTACCATCTGTAAAATAGGAATTACTGTTTTCCCCAAGATGGAAATCATGCCTACTCTCATATGATTGTCCTAAAAATCAGAAAGAGATTCTTGTCCAGATGCTTGGCACAGGGCCTGGGATGGGATGGGCACCTAATGAGTGAGTGAGCTCTGTGAGGATGTAGAATTTGACGGTTTCTCTTTGGAACCTTTCATGCAAGGTACCAATTAAGTACGAACATGACAGCTTTTAACGTGAAATAAACTTTACTTCGTGTTTTGAGTTTTATATAGCTTTTGACCTAACCGTTGGGAATCCCTACTCGGAGACTGGATGGATGTTGAACTTTTTTTTTTTTCCTCCCCCAGAAAGACAAACAAACTCAGAAGATTTCTCCAGTGAAAACATTCACATCTGCTGATTTTTCCATTCATCCTATGCTCTGGCCTTCATGCTATATTTTGGTTACTACACACTTTGTTGGGTACCTGCCTCCTTTTCTGATGGTTACATTTTCCACACTTGCAAACGTCAGGCT